TTTTTAAAAGAAGCTGTGTATTTTAATCATTCTGGCTGATCACTCCTTATGATACAAGAGATGAAGTAAAATAATTATTTTCCTTCTGCGCAGGAGCAAGAGGGTCACTCAGAACTTGTGATGGCTGGTAATGCAAGTATAGCCAAATCAAAGCAGTTGATATACTCTCATATAATTGGAAAGTCCAGAGTTAAACTTGACTAAACACAGCTGGCTGCATGAACCTATCCAGTGGTATCTGGACCCTGCCACTTTCTGTGCTGCAGCACACTGTCCAGCTGGTGGGCTAGGGGGCCACTGGAGGACCCCACCAGTTTAGCAACCCTTGTAGAAAGAGAGTGTCCTCCAATACTTCCACAAAAATGTGGTGGTCTCTGATTTCCCTGCGCTTCACTGTCATAGGCAAGAGGGAGTGATGTGAGTGATCGGGCTTAAACACTCATTCCTGTGACTGGAGGTTAGGGCAGTGTTTTCATTTTCTAGTCTCACCACTAGAAAAAAATAATCACATCACATGCTGGAAGAGTGCAGGGAGTGGGTGGACAGAAAGGAGTGCTAAATGATCTCTCTCTATATATAAGCCCAGTGACCAGAATGGCAGAATGACCAGAATGACTGGAACGACTGGTGGCTATGACACGCACTGATCCGGGCCCTGATTGTGCCCCCCCCACCCCCAACCGGCCGGCAAAGCCCCCAATCGGTCCCCAACACCCTGATTGGGGGTGGGTCTGGCCGGCCAACTGCCTGAAGCCCCTCCCCTGCCCTCCAGCCCAGCCCAATGGTCCCCCATCGAGGAGGGCCGGCTGGACCCCACCCCTACACAAATTCGTGCACTGGGCCTCTGGTGTACAAAATAACTGTATAACTCTTCACCTCAGTAGGTGGATTAGGTGGCCAAATCATTCTATGAAATATTACAATGATCACATCCCACAGAATCTGGAAGAAAAGGTGACAATTTAGAGCTTTTATTAAAATTGACAGGAGACCAGTTTCTGGTTTGAGACAAAGCACTTTTTACCTTGAAAGTAAGTAGTGTTTTTGTTGTTTTGTTTTTATGTGCCTAGAATCAGGATTTTTCTAAAAATTACTCTAGGTTATTTCTTCTTTCTTTCTATCTATCTATCTATCTATCTATCTATCTATCTATCTATCTAATAGAATATGTAATTTATTTTTATAAATTACTATGGTATTTCTTGCTTCTCAAAATCTGTTTTCATTTAGTTTATATATACTTGTAGAAAAAATAATTTAATTGTAACAGATATATGTATATGATGCATACACATTCTACAAAAACTAGGATGATAAAATATGTAAGTTAAAAGATGGATTTTTTTACTTTTCAACTACATTTATCAAAAGATCTTTGAAATAGTTTCTCCAACATTTTTATTTTACATGTACTTTTATGGCATACTTAAAAAATATATCAAATATTATTCTTACTTATAATTGGAATTAGATTCTTAACACAATTTTGGAATACAATATATTTTTATATCATGATAGTACATACTCTCTCTCCTTAGTTCTCTAATTCTTGGAGAAAAAATATACTGGTTGAGTATTCCACAAACCACATCACCTGGTGATATACACACTTCAGAATTAATGCTTTTGTGTAATGAGGATAGAGTACTTTATTTATACCATTCTAGAACATAAGCGTTCTCCTTGAACATCCTGGAAGAGGTTGTATTGCCAGTATCCCATAGGAATAATAATGGGCAAATGCACTTGGCAGTTCCTCCTCTGATTAATAAGGCATGATGAGGTTAAGTGACCTCTTCCAGGAGGCGTATGATTTATTTTTCCAGGCATAAGGTGAATGTGAAGCTGGTCTTTGGAACCACTGCACGAGCCGCCCACTTTACTTTATGGATGGAGTCACAAGGCCTTGCAGCCAGATCCCCACTTCTTTTGAAGCTGATTCTGGCTTCCTGGCAATCAAAATTATTTGTATGAAATGCAAAGCAATGGAATTGAAAAGCAGGGATGGAAAGTACTGTTACATATCCTAGCTGCTTTACTCCTGTTCTGAGACAACAACTTTCAAGAAGCGAGGTCCATGTCCAATTGCTCAGTAGTATTTGCCTCCCGTTTTTTTTTTTTCCTCCAAATCTATAACTAGCTCTTGTCATCTTCAAAGGGCTTCTCAAATATTAAGTCATCTCAGATTGCACACTGTTCTTTGCATTTATCTTGACCAGCTGTCAGAGAAGGCAATTTATTTCTCCTCGATGTTATTCCTCTTGGCCCTGTGGCTTCTGTAGTAAATTTGAATGGAACATGAAAAGTGCAACTTCGTGTGTTTTCATAACAAAGGAAACACATATTTTCTTTAAGCAAGATAACTTTCACAGTGCTTGTGGTGTTGCATTTGACACTCAAAATATACTTTTGTCACCTTTGAGTCTTCATTAAGTCCTAAGTAGAAATTATGAGGATGTGAAGACAAAGAAGATATAAAAAATCAAAAATCAGCCCTGACTGGTTTGGCTCAGTGGATAGAGCATTGGCCTGCAGACTGAAAGGTCCCAGGTTCAATTCCTGTCAAGGGCATGTACCTTGGTTGCTGGCACATCCCCAGGGGGGGTGTGCAGGAGGCAGGCGATCGATGTTTCTCTCTCATCGATGTTTCTAACTCTCTAACCCTCTCCCATCCTCTCTGTAAAAAATCAATAAAATATATTAAAAACAAACAAACAAACATCTTCTAAAGAAGCAATTTTAAAAAATCATTTACCGTATTATTTTCTTCTATTTAAAATATTGTAACAATTGTTTTGGCAGGATTATAAGGTAAAATAAAATTTGAAATTCATATACATATGTGTATATATATATATATATTTTTTTTTTTTTTGACTTTTAAAAATGTGACAAGGATTCAGCTAATTTCTATCAAATCTCAGTAAATCTATTCTTTCAGTTTCAAGATACCAAGCAGATGTCATCATATTGTCTGCAGAAATACTCTCAACACACAGTACACTGAAGTGAATCTGAAGTGCTAAAGTGTTGGGGGCCAGATGTAAGCTGGCAAGGTCCTTGCACCTGAAGGGGCTAGCAAGGCTGGAAGCCTTACCCACACAGTTTTCCCAGACTTGTTTGGATGGCGATTATCAGTAGAATGAGAGCAACATTTGTAGAATGAGAACAGCCTTTCATGGCTTACCAAGAAGTCTGTAACTATTTACTGAGATATGCTGTACTGAGAACTTGTCCTTCTGCTGTGTCTCTCCCTTAGAGATTAAGAGGAACAAAGAATACATTCCTCTTGACAGACCTCCTATTCAGTGTGTTATGTATAAATAGGATTGTGTGGCTAATAAAGTTGCTTCAGTTCATCGAGAGAACTGGGGTCCTCCCGACCCCGCTTTCCTGTCTTTCTTTCTTTTCTCAATTCCCACCTCCCTGCCTCAGCCCGGCTCAACCTGTCAGGCTGACCCTGACACTAAAGCAGTTCTCCCAGTGTTCTTCATATAGCAGTAGTAGGAAGCCTTCCAGAAGTTAAAAAACTGGAGATTAGTTAGCAACATATCAAATTTCAGGTGGGCTCTCTTAAACACTTATAATTCACTTATTCTCTTGCAAATCACTATTCCAAAGGTTTGATTCACTTGCAGCCCCACTTGGGTTTTAAATCACATTTCAAAGCACTCCTATCATTCATCCATTTTCAGAACTGCCATTAGAAGTGATGGGAATTTGGCACAAAAATCAATGAGAGGATATGATATGAGTTCTTTCTAATTTTTCCTTCTTGGAGCACCATCTCAAGTACAGTCTGTGAATTCTGTTTTCAAAGGTATTTTTCCATCCTGCTGTCATTTCAACCAAATTGAGTTCATGAACTTGGGATATATATTCACGTAGTTTTTCAGAAAAGAAAGGAGTTTCATTGTCACAATTGCAAATTTTTACCTGAAGTCATTTTAAAATCTTAATTAAATAATTTTAACACTGATGTTCCACATCAGCTTTTTAATCTTTTAAAAACATGGGCTCAGATTTACCATTTTATCTAAAAATAGTATTATTTCTTGTTCCTGGATGGGGAGATTTATAAAGGATTGCCTATTTATTTACCTATTTATCTATTTTTTATATTTTTAAAATTTTCTCTCACGAACATGTAGACTCTTGAAAGCAGGAATAAAAAAGCTACTATATTTAAGATTTTCTCACATTGTTCTCTTAGATAGTCTGTGCCCCTTCACAAATAAAAATGAATGTCCTCAATAAAAGGGTCAGGTATGCAGTTAAACCAGGATATCTAGAAGGACTTTCATCCATTTACACTATTTTATTACTGATTTTCTTTCTCTCCCAGAGGAGATTATTTTGCTTGCATTCAGAACTGGCATAGGAGCTAAATAAAGAAAAAAGTTTTTAAAAAGCAGCTTGACCAAAAAAAAGCCCATTGCCCATGATGTAGTGGTTTTGGAGGTGGTAAGGAAAAAGCAAAAATGAATTCAAGATGATGGTAAGGTTTGTGACCTTGATGGCAGCATTTATGGAGCTTGGAAGACAAGGCATGCTGATTCTAAGGCAGGGGTGGGCAAACTTTTTGACTCGAGGGCCACAATGGGTTCTTAAACTGGACCGGAGGGCCGGAACAAAAGCATGGATGGAGTGTTTGTGTGAACTAATATAAATTCAAAGTAAACATCATTACATAAAAGGGTACGGTCTTTTTTTTTTTTTAGTTTTATTCATTTCAAACGGGCCGGATTCGGCCCGCAGGCCGTAGTTTGCCCACGGCTGTTAAGGGCATATGGGATTCAGGCAGGAAGGTAAATGCTGAGGAAGAGGTGTTGTGGCAGTGGGCAGCGAGGTATGGTCCTGCCACTAAAGAGGTGTGTTCCTCTAGAGAAAATGGTATAAGCCACTTATATATAGTTGCATAACCTATGTTGTTGTTTTGTGTCATTAACATTTGCTGTGAATTTCTAAGTTGTAATTCTCCTTTTGGAATGTTTGGTTAGGAAATGCATCCACCACTACCACTGTTATCGACAGCAAGAATGGATCTGTGCCCAAGTCCCCTGGGAAAGTGCTGAAGAGGACAGTCACAGAAGACATAGTGACCACATTCAGCTCCCCCGCGGCCTGGCTTCTCGTCATTGCTCTGATCGTCACGTGGTCAGCTGTTGCCGTTGTGATGTTTGATTTAGTGGATTACAAAAACTTTTCAGGTAAGGTCCATGAAATTGGGCTTTTTAATGAATAGAAACAATGTTCTCTGCAGTTCTGGCTTTGTTTCTCTTCACCCCATCTTAATGTGGTAAATAAAGCACCCCCACAAATGTGCTTTTAGGTCACCAAACTCTCGTTTCTTTCTGTTTTTTTCCCCCTTCTATTCTCCTTCTTTGACTGGTGTATTCATTGATTTCAAATGAAGAAGATTTTCTTATTTGTAGAGCTGAACAAAGGCTGAATGTTACAATTTCATGAAGATAATGATTAAAAAGGTTAGGTGTACTAGTTTTGGAACTGGAACTTTATTGACCATTAATAAAAGGTGATTTGTGGATTTTACAGTAGGTAATATAAAACAAAATGAAGAGCTTTTGTTGATTTTAGAGAGAGAAGAAGGGAGAGGAATAGAGAGATAGTAACATCTATGGGAGAGAAACATCAATTGGGTGCCTCCTGCACCACCCCCCTCAATGGGGATCGAGCCCACAACCTGGGCATATACCCTGAGCAGGAATCAAACCACAGACCCCTTGGCTCATGGGTCGACCACTGAACCACAACAGCTTGGTGAAATGAAAAGCTTTTGGACAGATGGCAAAGAGTCTAAAGTATTTTTACCCTCCCGCCCCCACCATGTGGCTTCAAGCTTCCCTTTCAGACATACTCTTTGCTCCTCCCATCAAAACAGCCTATTTTGAGTTCTTGAAAATAAAGAGTGTTAAAAGGGTTTCCCAGAATGACTTATAATGAGATATTATATCTTGAATGTCCATGTGTTTTTGCAGTAAAATAGGAAAAACACAGGTGAAGATAGATTTTCATTATGACAATTCAATCTCTAAGTATATCATTCATCTCTTTGTTAAAAGTCTTTTTATATTTTTAAAATTATATTTATTTATTTTCTCATTGATACACTATATTGACTGTGCATTCCTTGATGAAGGAATTACTCAGGCATTTGATAAATAATAAATAAGTAGATGAATGAGTTTTTGCTTATCAATTTTTACCACAAGGAAAAACATTTCATTAATCTATTAGAGCACTTCTTCATATTTGTACTGCCCATATCCCAACCCCATTTTCCTTCCTCAGTAGTAGATGAATCAATAGGACCCAGAAGCTATAATTTCTATAAGTTGCATTCTATATAACCAGAAACCCTCTATTTTTCATTATAGTCTTTTATGCATTAAACCAGCGATGGCGAACCTTTTGAGCTCGGTGTGTCAGCATTTTGAAAAACCCTAACTTAACTCTGGTGCTGTGTCACATATAGAAATTTTTTGATATTTGCAACCATAGCAAAACAAAGACTTATATTTTTGATATTTATTTTATATATTTAAATGCCATTTAACAAAGAAAAATCAACCAAAAAAATGAGTTCACGTGTCACCTCTGACACGCGTGTCATAGGTTCGCCATCACTGCATTAAACAATTACTTACCAAGAATTTACTATATGTGCCAGAAAATGGCTGTTAAAAGAAATACAAATATACATTTTCAAAGTTGTAAAATTCTGTCATTTGGGTTTATTGACATGGAGGTGTGACTGAGATGACCCTGCCCACCTGCACCATTGGTAGCTGGGCTAAGCGAGCATCATCTAACAGCTAGAGATATGTCCATGGTATCAACCTAAGCAAAAAAGGCTACTCACCCAGAGCCATAAACCTCTGCTCTAAGTAGGCTGTAATTTTGTTATATTGTGAAATGTAAACTCTTAAATGAATATACACTGGAACTACCCATAATATAAATATGACCTAGAATTTTAAATGAAAAACAATTACATTACTCTAGAAGATTTTATTTCCCTTGAGCCTATATTGACTGTGACATTTCATCTTTTATTTCCTTTCTTAAAATTTCATTCATTTAAATTTTAGAACCAAATATGATGATAAAATATAGTTCTTTAATGCATATAATACATGTTAAGAACTGCGTGTGAACCTAATATTTGTAAAGTTAATAATTTAAAAGTGTATTACAGAAATTTCTGTTGAATGCAATTTGTTCTTAATTACATAGAATGGGCAGCTACCTATTAGTCTTCCAGGTTAGATTACTTAAGTGAAAAGACACACTTTTAATCCACAGTAGAAGTCCCTTGGACCACTGTAATTAGTGCTATGGATAATGCCTATGTGATTGGCATTTCATATGAGAGGGAAAAAATAGCCTCTATATTACTACGACTTCATTTCTTCTTTTAAGAAGTGTTTGTTAAGCACATTTCCTATGTGAGGTCTCCCCCTCCAGCTTTCTATATTTATTAATGACCTAACCAACTATCCATTCCCTATAAAAAGAAACCTGCACGTCATCTCTTAAATCTGCTTGGCATCTGATTAGTCACCATGCTCCATGGCGGCTACTCCGTGTCTCATACATTGGCTCCCTTCTCCTTTACACTTTACACCTTGGTTCTTTTCAGGGTGTTAGGCAGTTTCTTCTTGTCTCCCTCATCCAGTCTCTCCCCTTTAACACTGACCACAGGCATCTGCATAACACATAAGTTTCATCAACTATTTCCTATTGCCTAAGTGCAAGTTCCTTGATACAATATTTAAGTCCTTGGCTTAGTTCTTCATTTTCTTCCTGTAATTCAGCTCATGCACTTGTTTTCCAGTCATGTCACTACTTTCTCTAGACAAACGTCCTCTCATTGCTCAATGCCTCTGTTTATACTGTTCCTCTCTCCCAGCCCCGCCGAGACAGCCGAGAGTGTATTAGAACAGTTAAGAATGTGAATCCTGGCATTGGATTTCCCTGGTATTAAATCCAGACCTTACCACTCTCTAGCTGCGGGATATTGGAAAAGTCACTGAGCCTCTCCCTGTCTCAGTTTCATCACCCATAAAGCAGGGATTATAATAGTATCTATGTAAAAAGATTAAGAAAAGTTTATAAGTGAATATATTTAAAGTACTTAGAACAAAACCTAGTTTATCACAAACACTGTATAAATATGAATATCACTAGTAGAGACTCATTCCTCAATCTTCTATCTCAGTGATGGCGAACCTTTTGAGCTGGGCGTGTCAGCATTTTGAAAAACCCTAACTTAACTCTGGTGCCGTGTCACATATAGAAATTTTTTGATATTTGCAACCATAGTAAAACAAAAACTTACATTTTTGATATTTATTTTATATATTTAAATGCCACGCAAGTCATAGGTTCGCCATCACTGTTCTATCTAGAAAAATTCTATTCACCCTTTTTCTGTGAAACATTCTCAGACATCCTAAGAAGAATCCTCCGTACCGTGCTTTCATTCCTTCATACCTTATGGGCACCTGTATTAAATCAGTTAACACATTGTATTATAGGGATCTGTTCACTTAGCTATCTCATTTAGAAACGTAAACTTATCCAAGGAAGAGACTTCCTTATGTATCTCTGTATATTAGTGCCTGTCACACAGTAGGTGTTCTGCTACACGTTGCTTAAAGGAATGAATGATACTGACATTTGGATTTTGAAACAACTTTTTATATTATAAAGAAACAATCTACCATAAAAATTTTATTTCAGCCAGACAGTTTTGAACAACTTTAAAAATTAATAAGTTTAATAAAAATAGATTGTAAACATAGTAAAATGCTTATAAGATGAAATGCTGTTTGTTATGTTTTGTAATGTTATCTATTGTTACATGATAAATTACCTCAAAAGTAAGTGGTATAAAACAACAATAACTGTTTTTTTTTATTTTACACTCTTTCTGGGGGTCAGGAATTTGGGAATGGCTTAGCAGGGTGGTTCTGGCTTAGGGTATGCCTTGAGGTCTCAGTGAAGATATTTTCTAGGGCTGAATGATTTCTGGGGTTTTAGAGCCATTGGCAAGATGTCCCACACGGCTGCCCATTAATGCTGGTTTGTCCTCACAACATGGCAGCTGCTTCCTCCAGAATGAATGATTCAATAGAGAGCAAGGTAGACACCACAATGCTTCTTAGGCCCTAAGCTTAGAAATCACACACTTTTTCCCCCCTACAAAATCCTGTTGGTTACACAATTAATGTTTGAAGAGACTGTGCAAGGGTATAACTACCAGCACGCAAGGATAATTGGGGGCCCTTTGGGAGGCTGGCTACCACATATTTCACCTCCAGAAAATAACTTTGCTAAGTTATACACCTTGAGAGAAATGCTTACATATATGGTATGCCATCCAATACTCTCATTGACAAAGAGATATTATAATTATGATAGGTTCAAACAGAAAGGTGATGTGGTAAGATGACTCATGAGGCCACATCTAGGAAGGTAAATATTCACCAATGGATTTGTAATGAAAAAAAAATTTACAAAGCTGAAATTTTATAGGGGAAATGTATAAATTCTTCAAATACGAAGTTCAAATAGCCTTAGATAATTGAAATTTGAATGATCAATTTCTGGAACCCAAAGAATATAAGCTCAAAGAATTTGTATAATTGTAGTACAAAAAAAACTCATATTAATCTTTGGTTGGTTGGATGGGACACATCCATTCAGCTTATAATTCTAATCTTCTTTGTTCTATTTAGCAAGTTCAAACCTGCCTTTTTTATGTTGATTCTTCACAGAAAAAAATCATTTGCTTCAAGAGTTTCAAAATGTAAAAGTTACTCTTATGTTTTGGATATTATTTTAATTGATACATTTCAAACATTTACTAGGGATTAATATTCTTATGATGGTGAATCTTTTGTTCTATATAATAATCTTTGAAATGTGTTTTGCAAATGCTTAAAAAGCAAGCCTAGTGGTAGAAGGAAGCACACTGGAAATACCTCTGAAGGCCAAACAGTAAAGGCAGCTGACCTTGGGCTCTAAATGACTCTCTGGCACTTTAGAAAAACAGGTAAAGGCTTTGAAGGTATTAAAAACTGATCATAGGGAAATAAAAATATTTTTTCCTAAGTACTGTACTGGATTGAGAAGAATGATTCTCCTCTGAAAAACCTTCACAATCCCTTCTTTTCTGAATTTG